CTCCTGCCAACAGTCTCCTCTCTCTCTTCTGCCAACAGTCCTCTCCCTCTCACAACATTCCCTGACCTTCCCTCTCAACCTGCCCCACCTCTCTCTCTCTCTTTCTCTCTCTAGGTGCTAAGTGCTGTTTATCTCTGTGTCATATTATTACATAAAATAGTAAATGCCATTTTTGCGGTTGGACAGGCGGATAGCCTGTCCCTTTTGTCTGTTGCAAACGCCCTTCTTCTCCTTCCCTTCCCATAAAAAGCCATTAATTTCCATACATAATATATAGCTCCTTTCCTTCCTTAAAAGCTCCTCAACTCTCTCTCTCCATAGCTTCCTTAAAAACTTACCAACTCACTCGCTCTCTCTCTCTCTCTGTGCATTTGTGAAGAATGGGAAGGAGGGGGAGAAGAAGAGAGTGGTATGGGGAGGCTCTCTCTCCTCTGATAGAGGGGCCGAGCCCGGAAACTTATGGGCAAGGAGAGAGAAAGGAGAGTTCATGGGATGTAATTCGAGTGTGGGTTAGGTCTCAAATGGGGAAAGGTCTTCTTCTTAATAGCCATGGAGCCTACAAAAGCAATTGGAATAGCAGGAAATTTACAGATCTGAAGCTTCTCTTAGGTGTTTTGGGTTGCCCTCTAGCTCCTGTTGCTGTAACAAATGAGCCTATTCCCCACATCTCGATTAAGGACACCCCAATTGTAAGCTCTCCTCTCTTTCTCTCTTATATATTTTCACTTTTCTTGAAAAACAGAGATAGGGTGATTATTCTTTAGAGAGTAATTTGGATTCGTTCTCACTCTCAGTTACATTTTCCCAGTTTTTTAAAAATCAGATATAGCAATTTCCTTTTCACAGAGCAATTTGGGTTCTGTCTCTCAAACTCACAATTCTTGTGATACAGGAGACGTCCTCTGCCCACTACATTATACAACAGTACATTGCGGCGACGGGCTGTTCAAAACTGCGGACAGGCATAAAGAACATGTACACAACAGGGTCGTTAACCATGACCTGCTCCGAGACCGAGACGGGAGGTGGCAAGACGGGTAGAGTGAGAAACAACGGAGGATCAATAGAAAGGGGATGCTTTGTGCTTTGGCAGATGAAGAACAGCACCAACGACATGTGGTCTGTGGAGCTCGCAGTTGGGGGAATGAAGCTCCTGGCGGGGAGCAATGGGAAGGTGGTGTGGAGGCACACACCTTGGCTTGGCACCCATGCTGCTAAGGGGTCCCCTCGACCTCTTCGACGCGTCATCCAGGTTTGATTTCATCTCTCTCTCTCTCTCTCTCAAACACACCAGTTAGACATAAGCTCATAAAGTGACCCTCTCTCTCCACCCCCTCTCTCTCTAACACTACAGTTTGATATAAACTCATAAAGTGACTCTCTCTCTCTCTCTCAAACACACAATTACTTGAACATTAAGGGACCCTTTTTCTCCTCAGCTGTCCTATGTGCTTAGCCCTCCAAATGGGATGTTGGTTATCACAGTTTGGCATCTCTCTCTCGCTCATGGGGACATGGGGTGTCTTGAAAAACAGAGATGCAATTGTTTTCTCTCTCTCTCTAACTAATGGGGACATAGGGTGTCTTAAATAAAAGAGATGCAATTGTTCTCTCTCTCTAATGGGGACGTGCGATGTCTTAAAGAAAAGAGATGCAATTGTTCTTTATCTCTCTCTCTCACATATTCATCTTACATTACATTTATAAATGAGGTGTCTGATGCAGTTGTTCTTTTAGGCCTTTGTTTACCAAAAGAGACTCTCTCTCTATATATATATAACAGAAAGAAATTGGACCTCTGTCTCTGTGTCTTTCATAGACAAATTTGATCTCTCTCTCTCTCTCTTTTAGAGAGAAATTTGGTCGCTTTCTTTCTCTCTCCTGCCATTCTTCAACAAACTTGGTGGACACATACCCAGCTTTGGAAAATTTTATCGATAAAATGCTGGGCCCTGCGGCCCACTTGTATGCATTTGTTTGTAGGTTTGGATGTATGTGTGTATAGGGAATATGGAGGCATATCTCTAGGGCCTCATTAAATATGATACATCACCTTACTAAGTATAGTTACCTCTAGTATACCTGTGTTCCTAGGTTTTTAAACCCGAAATAGTACAGAATAATGGCTGGCCATGAAAAGAGACCGCGTGGTCCCTCATGTGCATCCTCAATCCAGTAGTAGGAATAAGTGTATATTTATCCAGACATGCACCTAAGGTGTGAATTCATTTATATATGAATGTCTACTCCTAAGAACATGCATGTATTTGTGCATCTCTCTCTCTCTCTTGTTTGGGTATCTCTCTCTTCTTTCTCTCTCTTGTTTGGGTATCTCTCCCTCTCTCTCAAAAGTGTCTATGTTTGCTTAAAAATGTGGTATATTGACATAATGTACATAATATAATTTTTTTTTTTTATAGGATGGTTGGCCAAAAGGGCTTGAGTTCAATCAACCATGTACCCTTTGATCTGTATTTGGGTGATTTATTAAAATAACTATAAGATATGAACCATTTAATGTTTTAACCATATCTTTTGACTTAGTTCAAAGCACCCTTAAGAAAACATAGATCATGACATGGAATAGTTTCGAAAGGGTCAAGTGTTAAAGGAAAAAGTATATATAACGTTGCAACCTTAAAATGTAGAACTACAAATGCACCTCAAAAATCCATCGGAAAAGGTTATTTTTAATGTTGAAAAATCTTGTGATTGATCATCTCGACATTGAGATGTATGACTATGAAAAATAAAAATATTTTGGGTCTCAGAAATAGTGCATCTTACAACATATTATCTACACCGTCCATTTTCAGGATTTTCATACGTTTATAGATCTACTTGATTTTAACCATTTTTGGAATTTAAAATTTTGTAATTAGATATAGAAATAGATTTTGAGGTAATCCTAAGAACATTTTACATCAAAATTATAAATTATGATAAAATTTGAAGGTCCACCTTAGTTGGATTGTTTAAGGTTGCAACTTTATGGAAACCACAGCCAATGTTAAATGGTTAATCTTTTTATCGGTATTTAGATAAATTTCCCTATTTTACACATACCCCACTGCCTTTTCATAATATAAATTTTTCTTTTGGGTAGTTCAGTGGTAGGAATCGAGCTTGAGATGTAGTATTGGTTGATGTTAGTTGATAATCACTCAAGCCCGAGACCAATTCCTGTAATATTAGTTAAATATATACATCTATAGGAGCCATATTAATATTAGTCATGAATTCTAGGTTGGTTGCTCCTGTTTAAGTTAAATCATTTTTTTCACCCATGGCAGTTAAATATGCAATTTTTTCATAAGAAATTGCCTAATGCAAATTGCACTCCTATATTACAATTCCTTTTTGGAAACCATTATGCATGTATATACTCTAATAAAATTAATTTTCACATGTGCTACTGAATTCATGCATGCTCTGGATTATTACAAAAAAAAATTCACTTTCATTGTCTATTATTACAAAAAGTTGCTATTTTCACAAGATCATTCACTGTCTGGATTATTACAAAAAATTATTGCTTTTTCAACAAATTTTATTCAATTCATTCAGGGTCTAGACCCAAGAACAACAGCAAGCATGTTTGCACATGCACAATGTATGGGTGAAAAGAGGGCCGGCGAAGAGGACTGCTTCGTTCTAAAGGTTGCAGCCGATCGTCGCACCGTGGTTGAGAGGAGTGAAGGGCCTGCAGAGGTGATTAGGCACGCGCTTTACGCTTACTTTAGCCAAAGGAGTGGCCTTCTGATACAGGTCGAGGATTCACACTTGACACGAGTCCAAGCCACCCCCTCTGATACTTTGTATTGGGAAACCACAATCTCTACGACGATTGGGGATTACAGAGAGGTTGATGGCGTGCTGATTGCCCATTCAGGGAGATCCACAGCCACGATTTTTAGGTTCGGAGATGACTCGAGTAGGCAGGGCCGGAGTAAGATGGACGAGTGGTGGAGGATAGAGGATGTTGTGTTTAATGTGCCCGGTGTTTGCGTCGACTCCTTCATACCTCCCTCCGATGTCGGTGCCGGTTTACCGCCATCATAGCCTGTGTGTGTGACATTAGGATGACCTGGACATTGCGATTTGTTCAATGCCTTGTTTGTTTTGTTTATTTAGAGTGGTGAGATTGATGATTGAAGAGATTTATTTGTAAATGGGAGTAGTGCTAATGAAAAGAGTTTTTCTTGGAAATGGCAAAAAGGCCAATGTATATGACAGAAGCTATGATAGACACTCATCTTTATTACACTGAACTGCAAAATTTAAGCAGGCTTTTGAGTTGGAGAGACAGTTGGGAGTAGAATAGTCCGTTATTTTGCAGATGCATGTTGGAATGGTCTGAGAATCCGTTATTTTGAACTTTCAAGATGCGTGTTGGAATGATGAGAGAATCCGTTATTTTGAGCTTTAAGATGGGTGGTGGAATGATGAGGGAGGATTATTGAGTGTTTAAAGCAGGGATTATGCTCAACGAATGTTTTGTTTTCCATGAATCGCAGTGCGATTTTGAGCCATACATCCAGGGCATGGGCCTGGAGCCAATGGTCCATTGCCCCTCTAAACCCCGTAAAAAAATAGATTTCAAGTTATAAAAATAGTGCATCTTGTAATGCATTATTTGAGCTGTTTTTTATATTTTCAAGTATTTGTAGATATGCTCTATCTGTATTATTTTTTAGGCGTTTTGAGGCGTTAAATTTCATAGTTAATGATAAAAATTAATTTTTAAGCCATCACATTGCTATTGAAATGGCATCTTTCAGTATGGTTTGGCGGTGCACTGTTACCATTATTTTTTAAAATTTGCACCTTATACAAAACATACCCATAATAGTTACAAAACACGTCCCTTATAGTTATCAATGTGAAGGTGCAGTTTGTACAAGACAACAACCGTATTTCTACAATTCTATTTGTAGAAATAAAGTTGTAATATTTTGTAATCATCAATTTCAATTGGATGGTGTAGATTTGACATTTTTTAAGAACAGTTTAAAAAAGTTATACATCTTCTAAACTAATGTTAAATTTAAGACCCATCTAAATAAACATAGATTCTTGCAAACCTTTTTCTACAAGTAAAGGTTGCAACTTTGCAACCTTGAAAAACTCACAATTTTGGGATCTACATAGATTATTTGATTCTGAAATATATAATATAATAAGTATAAATGGAGAAACACTCAAAAAAGGAAAAAATATAAGAGGAGAAAATTAATGGGGTCTTTGTATTTCTCTGACCAAAATTTTATTTCATTCATCAGATCAAGAGCTTCTTGTGTAGCGCATCTTTTGTTAGGAAATTTAGTCCTGATATTTTAATTTTGCCGGATACAAACTACATCCGCTTCAAAGCGATCTTGGGTCGAAGGCAGGAGGAATGGTATTCAATAGAAGTACAAGGGCTGGTTCCTATAGGGCTAATGTGATGATACCTTGTCTCTAGCCCAGATCTAGGTCGGACCAGGTTGGACCTAATTGACTCGAAGCAAAGAAAGACAGAAATAAGGGAAGAAATATGGCCAGGCCCAGACTAAGGCCCTGTCATGGCCTTAGCCTAGGTTTGTGTTGGGAGTAGATACCAGATCACCTTTATTACATATATTTTTAGTTTTCAAAACTTAAAAAATATTTACAAGAAGCTCAAATACACCTGTATCGAAAGAAAGACCTATGCGATCTTTTATCTAGGAATACAATTTTTTTTTTTTTTTTTCACTTCTTTCTTTTGGCAAAAGATCACTTACAGGTAGTCTTTATTATAATAAAATAAATTTCAAAATAAAATCAACATAATAATAAAAACAAGATCTTAATAACTTGATGTCATTAAAACAACTATGCACTATGCTTGAGAATAAAAGATAAGATTGCAAAAAACAAAAGGAAGAGTGCTAGAGACTACCTCAACCGGGCTTATTACACCCCACACCGAGTCACCACTATCCGATGGCACGGGATCAATGGTCTAGCTTCAATTTTGGATGGGGAAAGTAAATTTCGGCCAAGCCACACCAATGGAACATAAACCCCTCTGATCACAAACTCAAACCCTAGGTGAATTCTCTTAGCAACCTAGTTTGAGAGAGATGGATTCTCTTTTTGCTAAACCTTAAAACCCTTAGCCATAAATCCATATTTTAGAGATAGGAGAGAAGAACTCTATAACCTAAACCTTTAAGTTCTTTCACAATGTGGGAGAGAGATCAAACATGAGAAAGATAAACTTTTTTAAGAGAGAGAGATAGAAAGATAATGTGTAGAGATTTTTTTGTAGAGACAATCCATTTTTATAGCCTTTGAATGAGATTAGGGTTTATTAGGGTTTTCGTTGGCTTGCCTCTTCTTGTGAGATTGAACATAGACTGTCGATCAAGGGTAACTTGTGGGGTGAGAGATCTGAGCCATCCATTCCATAGATGAGCCAGGAAAACTTATGGGGTGAGAGATCTGAGCCATCCATTTCATAGATAAGCCATCAACATTATGGAATGTGCATGAACCATTATCTCCCCTTTCCTAAACCATTTTCTCATCAATAGAAATTAAATAATTAAATCTAATCAAAATATTGTGCATATCATAAAATAACACAAGTCTACTCAATCTTTCCACAAAATCTTTCAAAGATATATCAAGTCAATAATTAGTCAATATCTTCAAACCATATGGCCACATTCCATATCACCAAAAAAATAGGAAAGAGAATAAGGGTGGGGCGTGCCACCCAAGGGAGGCACTCATGTGCCCCACCTTCTAAAAAAATATGGCGGGCCCATGTGCACAATGGACCCCCATGATATTTTTATATATTTAAAATTAATAAAATAATTTTAGAATATTATTTGAATATTTAAACAATTGTAAAATCAATATATTTAATTTTATAAATCACAAAATTATAAATAAAATATCCAGGGGTTCATAAAAATTCAAATAATAATATTAAAATAATTTTCATCATAAAACAAACACAATTAAATTAATTTGATGGGAAAATGATTCATATGGTTTAAGAATCAACAATCATGGGGCACTCCACCTTCAATTGTGGACTACAAACCACACTTGTTTTATCAGACCGACTCAATATTTCCCATGACCTACAGTTCAAGCAGGGGCTCATTAGTGGGTCACCAAAGTCTAGCCGATAAGCCAAAAGATCACAATCCCAGTTTGTGGATTTCAGGTCCTCCCCTAGAGACAACTCAAGGTCACCAAGACCTTATGCGACCACATCTCTATGGCGCATAGGGGTATCTCTCGCACATGCATACGCTTCACCCTAAAAGATGGATTTCTGGCTTTTCCGAACAATTTATCGATATGCATGCCGTGTGATGGTACATGGATGAGGTTTTGGCCCCTGTCTTTGTAGGCCACCATCACATACAAGGGTCACACAGTTCCTCGACTCACTCATCCGGGCATATTCTCTGACCTCATCAAGGGCTAACCCATTAGAACTCTTCTCAATTTGTTTTTTATGCCCAAGTAATATGGGTTTTTTTCCAACCGACTGGCCTAGATCGTCAAGCACAGTCCGGTATCTGCAAACATCGTTTGCTTAGTATGGTTCACAAGAGACCACACTCCTACTGAGTTCATGTTTCACTATATCATTTCATTTTACAAGCACTCATAAGACCTTTAAAGGCCACATAAACCCAACATGTATTACATACATTTTTCCATAAAAGTACAACAGTATCTCACTGATACAATCACTTCACTGCAGTGGACGAGTATCACAAACACCATCACGGAGGCGTAGGGTTTCTTCTCTCAAGCACATGTACACAATCCCTATCTGGTAGATCAGCCAGAAGGGCGGCTTGCCATGAACAACATGTGCATATGCTGTGGGTTGGCAAATGTTGACGCTTTGATTCTTATATCCTAGTCAGGCCTACCCGGCCATAAACAAAACGTACAACCACATCCATATCGTGCAACCAAAACACATTCCCTAGCTCCACACATTCACTAGGCCACCGCCGACCTCAACCGAGGGATATCCCCTAACTCTCACGGAACCAACAGGGTCACATGCCCATGCTTTAGTGGAATTGGGGTTCTCAGGACTATTAGACACCATCTTTGAACCCCTAAACTGTAAAGCCCAGTTCCTCTAATTCCCACATTCCCATTGAAGTTAACAACCACATCATCTCAATGGTGTCAAGGCCATGAAAGGCCACATAAATCTAACAGCCCAGCCCTCGAGCCATGGTGGGTGGCCCTAGCCTAGCCCTATGTTCACATTTTGTGGCCCAAACCTTTGTCTTTTATGGTGTTGATCCGACCAACCCATTACTAACCCTAATAAGCACTTCAGAGGATGAGGGAAGGCTGAGACGTCCTCTTCTCTAAAAAAATACAAGTTTCTCACAAATCTCAGTGTGTTTCAAAGTTTCAAATCCATAGTTTAGAATCTTAGATGGCTCCTATCCTTGCATATGGACCCAATAGAAATGAAGATAGGGAGAAGTTTTTGTAGGAATTCAATAGTCATAGAAGAAGTGAGAACACCATGGTGCATTTCCATGGAATTCAAATTCAATGTTCTCGGATTGGTATCTCGGAGGAGCGAGGGGGATAGGCTCACACATGCGGTATGTCGGTTCGAGCAATTCATTTCTCCGAATAAGCTATTACACCTGGTCGAGCCATAGTCTGAAAAGAGTAAACCACCATTTTTTGGTCTAGGTGGAGTGGGAGACTAGGTTCAATGCAACAAATGCTCGAGTATTGCTAAAGCCTATATTGGCTCGTGTGTCGAGTCTTGATAGAGCAGAATGGCAAACTAGAATTCGTATAGCCGATCCTAAATTAGTTGAGAAAAAACTTTAATAATGATGATAACGATGATTTTAATCAGTGAATAAAAATGGGAGTAGCTCTGATTGAGTCCGAGTTACTCGGCTTGAGTCGGGTATAGTCCAGCCAAGCCAAAAAGTGTTCAAAAAAATAAAAAAATCCCCCCCAAGATAGGAAAAATATGTTCGAAGTAAAATTTAACAAAATGCATCTAAATGAGGTTTTAAAAATAGTGAAAAAGTGGATTTTGGAAAAAGTAAATTTGTGTCGGGGGTACTATTAGAAATAATTCAAAAAATAAGGGAAAATATAAAAATAAGGGAAATTATTGCTAATATACCTATATTTTACTATAATCGGAAAAAAAAACCACAATTTTTCAAAACCTCACCTACACCCTTTCTCACAGTTTTTGGCTTTTTTTGGACCAAAATAACATTCACGGTAGTTTTTTTACCGTAAAGACCATTACGGTAATTTAAATACCGTAATAAGTTGAAGGAGTATTACGGTAATTAAAATACCTTGATACCTTAAAGTAGTATTATGGTAATTTAATTATCGTAATAACATTACGGTAATTTAAATACCATAATAAGTTGAAAGAGTATTACGGGAATTAGAATACCATAACTTAAAGTAGTATTAATTATTTAATTACCGTAATATTGCCCATGCCTCATTAAAAGAACACAAAAGATTTTCTACTAGATCGGGAGTCTACTATCTATTTACTCCCTCGACAAAAATCTATGCTAGCTGTATTTTTCAAATCTCAACTTTTTAGGATATAATCTCTACTACTTATAGAATAATTTCAGCAAAAGAAAATTTCCAAGTAAATTCTTCTGTATATTAGAAAAACCTAACACTTCAAGATTGAATAGAAACTATCCAATTTTCAAAGAGCTAGATTTAAATGTCACATAACTCACAATTCAATTCTTTCAAAAATAATTTAGTAATTTTTATATGGTTATCAAAATTTTAGAGCAAAAACATTCTTAAAATGGTGTTTTTGAGGGAGAGAGTAGATCCACATCGTGCTCCCATGGAAACATATATTTTTTGAAAAACACGGCTCCAAAGAAGACTACCGTGAAGGAAGGAGAGGGGTGGCCCTGATATTAGCTTCGGTTTGAAGCTTTTCAACCAATAAGGGTTTGGAATTGACTAAAAAAGTATTACGGTATTCTAGGGTAACCCTGATATTAGTTTCGGTTTGAAGCTTTTCAACCAATAAGGGTTTGGAATTGACTGGAAAAGTATTATGGTAATAAGAATATCGTAAAGACTTCCCCACACATTACGGTGATACCGTAATACCCTTTGAATTTTTTACGGTGTTTTAATTACTGTAAAGCTTAAAATTTTTACGGTATTAATTACTATAAAGCTTAAAGGTAATAAGACTACCATGAAGGTCATTTTGGTCCCAAAAAAAAAAAGCCAAAATTTGTGAAAAAGGTTGTAAGCGAGGTTTTGCAAAGTTAGGGGTTTTTTTTCCGATTTTACTAAAATAAATATTAGCGATAATTTTCCTAAAAAAAAATATGAATAGCCAAAACATTTCTAATCTTTGGTAAAATGATGACAGCTTAAAAGAATATATTACAAATAAATATCTTATTTTTTGGATTTTTTTGTAATTTTTTTGTATTCTTTTTAAGATCCCTTAGTCGGACAAGCCAACTCGAGGATACCCGGGGTGGCGAGTCCGAGTTGGCTGGCCCAAGTTTTCCACATTGATCCTGATCTTCCTTGACGTTAAACCCCCAAGAATTGACCCATGACCCTTCTGCTTTGAATTGATGTGGTTATAAGGACAAGAGTTTGAATGTCTTGATCAAGGAATGGTTGGTGGCAATCTCGGAAGAAGGGTGGTATGATTTTTAGAATATGTAAAAAATTATGGATCATAAAACACAAATTGAAAGTCTAGAACAGAAAGGTATTTGGAGATTTACAAATGATAATAACACGGATTCGAAAAGAATTAAAGGAAATAAATCTATAAAGAGAAAAAGTGACAATGACGTCAAACCAATTGAATAGAATACTTTGAAAATTTGAAGTTGGGTCATCAAAGTCGTCTTTTTCCCTTCTTTCTCTTTCTCTTCACTATTTTTATCTGCTACAAAATAACTCAGTTTCTTTGTCTCGCCTTCTGAACAAATTTTCAGAAAGTTTCTTGCTTCTTGGAGCAATGGAAATAGGAATTACTGCAAGCTCAAGCATTAAAACAAATTTAAACCTGGTTTTGAACTAGAAATATCAAAGAGAAGCAAGATTTGGTTGGTGGAGAAAGAATTTTGGGTAGTGTTCATGAGTTTGTCTTCTTAATGCCAATTTCTAAAGGATCTAGAGCTGAAGATTTTCGTGAAGTATAGACACTTCAGTAACGCAATCAAAATGCTATCACAGAGAGCAATTTTCTGCTTTTCAGCTTGCTGGTTCCTGGAGTTTGTTACAACTTAGAAGAGCTACAAGTTTCTTGAGACAGAGAGAGGGCTCTTATATCAGCTAAATTATGATGACGTGCCCGACGAACATCTTGAGAGAGAGAGACATGAATGACCCAGAGTACTTCAGACAAATTTGAGACTGGGGGGAGAGAGTTTTCTGAGAGAAGAGAGGGACGGAGAGAAAGTAGCCCAACTTGGGAGTGCTGTTTACTTGTGCATCGATCTTGAAGAATAGAGAAATTGCACTTATATTTAAGAGAATTTAGGTGTGGTACCAATAGGGGGATAAGATGAGAGAAAGTAGATTTAGGTTGGCTGACCGTGTGCAACACAAAAACGACAATTGTTGGGAGGCACGAGTTAATTCAAGTTGAAGGCTCAAAAAGAAAGGGTGGGCTCAAAGGGACATAATTGGTAGTTGTGAGATAATACATGGGGTCTTATAGTAAAATGGCGAATCAGGATTTGTGTAGTCACTCTCAATTAATTGAAAAAATGTTTTAATGATGATGGTAATGTATACTATGAGACCATTTATTTTTACTCCAATGAGGTCACAATTGCTACTAACCATTAGGTATCAAATTTAATAGCTTGGGGTGTGTCACAAAGTTCAGGAAATTCTTTTTGAACTTTAAGTCTAGTCAATAGCACACTCACAACCATTTGAAATCAAACAGACAAGAATGCTTGTGATATAGTTGTATTTAAAATAAACTCTTTTTGTATACTTTTCCTTTTTGTTTACTTTTGCTAGTCTAAAATTGACAACCAATTCTTGGTAAGCATAGGAAAAGAACACGAGCTTAATTGGTTAGCGCTTGACAATTTGCAACGCTAAATCTTAGGCTCAATTCCTACCAAGGGTAGGGGACCTCTCCCACTGACTCACCCAAAAAAAAAAAAATTCTTGGTAAGAATGAACCAATAAGATGCAATGCACAATCCATGGACCAACAGAATGTATCAATACTCATTTCTTGCATGTAAAAGGACAGTATTTTTCTACACAACATACGATAAAATAATAATATTAGTGATGATAATTTGAAGTTCCCAACCACTGTTTTGAATCTTTACTTTGACTTCACTAAGATCGTGTGAATGTACATTGAGGACTATGAACAAGAAATGGGTAAAAAGCACAACCCACTGCTGTACACTCCTATGAACAACAGAAGCTCCTCTTTGGATACCCTTGGCCTTGGGGCACACTAAGAGAAAAGCTCCCCTAAGTGCAGATCAATGAGTAGAATCCACAAGAGGAAAAACAAAACTTCGGAAACCAAAAATAAGAGAACGCAAAGAGGAAAGCCGCTCATGGTCTAAGGTGCTCAATCCCTTCATGCACTGTGATCACACTCTTGGCGAGCACATCCGCCTCTTGATTGTGTTCTCCATTGACTTGTTGGATCAGTGTTTCCTTTTCAATCAGTGCCGCTTGAATCTCATTCATCACCACCCACCACCTCCAAGGAAATTAAAATCGGTGTTTTTACCACTCAATAACGTTGGCAGTGTCACCTTCAATCACCACACTATTGTGCTCCTGCTGTTATCTTTGGACGCCATGTTCGAGGGCAAACAGATAAACGGCCATCATTAGTCCATATCGCATTGCGAATATGATCCCTTAGCACCCCCATAACTGCTACTCTCCTCTTCTCTCAAACTCCATTTCAAGTTTGTTGGTAACATACGCTGGCCACTGTATTTCTCAACGTTTTCGAAACACCGATTGCAAACAAATGTCTACCTACATGACCCTTTGGCACCAATTATGATGCCTAAGGAAACCATCTCCCAATTTCTTGACCTTCTAAATTCATTTGTGGCCAGAGTTGTATCTGCTAGGAGATATACAATACATACCAATTACTGTGCCATGGTAATGTTTGTCCTTATTTACTTTCCTCTAAATTATTTGTATAGCCTCTTCATAGATGTGAAAAAGTTCACTATAAATTTCTGTCATCACGGTCCTATGTAGTGTTAAAAAACTTGGACTTTTTGATGGAATTGCCCCGAGTTAAGCAGATGCTCGTCCACTGAATGACACGGACAAGTTATTTGGTTTTAATCCACTGGCTCTCTCCAAAGTTCAAACTTTCTATAACCGAGTTGATCATCACCAAAACCGGGAGGATTTACAACATGAAGGGAAGAATTAAAAACAGAAACTGCATATGAATTAATCCAAACTAGCAGTTTATTTGTATGTGTGCGTGTGAGAGAGAGAGGATTTGCTATCCCAAGAGATTTAAGTAGATGACAAGTAAAGAAGAGGGAAAAGGGAGAGAGGAGAAAGCAGCTTCCTAAGTAGAAGTAAGAACCAGAAATTTGGTTTTTACCTTTTCTTTTTTCTTTTCTAATCAATGTGGGAATTTCAATCATTGTTTTGTTACATTTGGGCATCAACGATCCTTTTCCTGATCCTAATCCATGATGAAAATACACAGCACATAATTTGAAATGAAAAAATGACGAATCAAAGGAAATCCAGCAATATCTCTTTGACTTATATTTTCATTCATTTACATCCACTGCTATTTCTTTACCCGTATCTCATTCATCCAAGTCCGCCTTATTCACTAATCTACATCAAGATCCTTTATTATCTCTGTACAATATAGTTCAACATGCTCAACGATTCAAAACTATCATTCTATGCATATAAACTTGTGAACATTACAAGGTGAGAGAGTCTCCTGGTTAGCACAGCACCCACAAACATCTTCATCTGCCATCAATCAACTCAAAGGGAAGGCTCTCACTTGTACTGTGTGATTCACAGCATCACAACTCTAATTTTTCGTGTTTCGCAAGCTGGGGAGCAGCACATAAAACCAATCAACATTGGTTGCATATAGTGGCTAAAAACCAAGGCCACAAGAACCATCAATTTCATTATATTGATCAAAGTGACACCTCTTATTTCTATTGATATTAGATGCAAATTTATCCCTAATCTCAAGATTTATAAATTCTTTATAAAAAATTTCTACACAGCTGAACTTTTAATAAATCCAAAAAAAAATGTTCAATTCTTGGTATCAAACTCTGTAAGAGCTTGAATCATAAAAAACATAAAAACCAAGGGACCAAATTGATCAGCACCATACCTTAAACAGTGTCCTGTCGTAATGGATGAACCTCATTCTGCTGGTTATCAAGTGGCATGTACTGTGACATGATAGCCATGATCTCCGAGTCCATGTAAGACTATAGGAATAATAGATAGACGAATAAATAAATATCCAAATAAATAAATGATTCGACACAGAAGCAATAACTGAAGAGCAATCATCATAAACCAAGTCACCAATAATATTAATATGGTAGGGATGGGAAAGGCTTTATGAAATAATGAAATCAGTAAAAACATAATCTGGAGTTTACCCGAAGCCTGTATTTGTAGAATACAAATCCTGCAAACCCAACTCCAACAAATCCAGATAAGACCAAGATTGTTAGGAACCACCCGAATCTTGAGGTATTCTTACCTGCATGTCCACAAAGTTCCATATGATGCTCAAAACTAAACCAAGTTCGTTCATAAGAGTTAAATACTACTAACAATGATGACAAATCAAAATCTGAATTAACTTAATTTACTACATGGGGTGATGGATTGTTCTTTTTGGGTAGTTATGATGGATTGTTCAGTTGTGAATTCCAGTTTAATCAGACTATATGTCTGTTGAAATACCTTGGTTCTGAACCCACATAACTAAAATTTCTCAGCCTATAATGTTAGAACTGAAACTATTTGACTGCTCCAAAAACAACAAGGACAGATCAAGAAAATAATAACAACATTGATGATAATGGTAGTGGTGGTGGTGGCAGTAATCCAAAGACCTTCAAATTTGACAGAAACGTGAAATAATATGGACGAGGACACTAGATCCATAAATTCTAAAAAAGAGGTTTGATGGCAGATTATGTTCTCTATACTGTACAGAACATTAAAATTATGTAAGTCATGAATCTAGGAATAAGATAAATTAAACTAATAAGGTTATTTATAGAGAATTTAAACAATTCTATTGTAGTTATTTATTTTCATAGTCAACAATTGCCATAAAATATCCAGTCCATCCATTTTCTAGTGTCAAGTAAATCTGGTTTGCATACTTTATCATCATTGTCAAAGCTTTTCTCCAACTAATTGGGGTCGGCTATGCGAATCCTGGCCCGCCATTCTGTTAAGGTCATCTCCCTTCTTGGACCAAGTTTGCATACTTCAAAACACCAATTTTCCTTCTCAATACTTGCTCATGCATGCCATTCACTGTTAATTCTTTTCTGCTTATTTTTAACTTTTTCAAGTGTTTTCGAAAGTAAAATTATAATTCTGGGGCATGAACAGCATAATGCTTGGACACTCCAAGAGCCATCTAAAATTACCAGGTACCAAATCAATCCATTATGAGGTACAAAACCATTAAAACCCCTTCAAGGACATCTTGGTTCTCCTTACCAACGCATGCATCCTGCTCTGAAATGTATAGAAGGTCCCCTCTGCATTTGCAATCAAATCCACCCCATGTATTCTTACAACTGCAACCATCACACTGACAGGCACGCCCTTCCTTACATTCATCAATGTCTACAATAATATAGCAATATAACATTAGGTTTGCAATATATCAAAAAGGAAAAGACAAGAAACTAGAATTTTGAAGTAATTCCCAATTTTATAAGTACCTTCGCAAGTATGACCATTCCCATGAAAGCCACGTGGACACTGACAACCTTTAAGAACGTTCCCCTTTAAATACACAAGTATAAAATATGTAAGGTTTTTTACCAAGATGCAGTTATGAGATTTGAACAAATAGTAGAGGCAAATAAATATTATCATTAAGTTAGTGAAGACAAAGGATCATGTGACAGAACTGAGCATGCTGAAAATGTCCGTCCATTCCTTGTTTCTGACCAGCAGCCACCATTGTTCACTGCACATCTTGCAGGCCCCATAGCTGCCAATGATGTCAAAAGAATAAAATATGAGTAAAAAGCATCAATTTTAGTTCTTGATGTTCATAGTATGCATATTTTGCAATCAATCCATTTCTTTGAGAGAAGTCCAAAGCACTCAAGGTGGAACTTAGAAAGCTCTATCAAATAAACAAAAGTTTTTGGACAAATCTTGCGGAAGAAGTTCAAGTCATATTTGAAACCCAAACAGAGAAGGATAAAGGTCATACAAGTCACGTCATCTGTGTATTAGTGTGAAGATCTACAAACTTCAGAAATGAATAGTTTTATTCATTTATATCGGATTGTGCAGTGTAGTTCCTTGGAACCAAAGAAATGTGATGTCTTATAACATGGCCCTACTGACTGAAAGCAGCAGTTCTTGGATTTTGAACAAAATGTTCAGCACAAATATTGCAGCGTTTAAGTTTGCTGGTATTTATCACAATGCATAAATTGGCACCTCTACAAAAATATTGAGTCATTTACTGAAATGGCAGAAAATTCATGGAGCAGTTTAAAAAGATGTTAGAAGTGGTACGTGGATTAAAAAACATGCGACTAGGAGAAAAAAAAGATGGGCAAGAAACATGAGTATATGCAGGACCATCCATGGAAACAACATTAGAGGCACTGTTTCATGCTCATCAGGAAATGTGTCGTTTGGTAGACCATCTTCCCAATGTCCAAGTTTAGAAAAAGCAAGACAATGTCAAAATATAATTTGAACAATACAAATTCATTGAGGGTTACCACTCGTAAAATAAACTAGGTAGAATTTGAGATCCAAGCCATGAAAACTATGAACTATGCTTGAATAGTTATAAGGAACAGGTAAGGGTTATAGTACAAATATCATAGTCAGGAGCATTTATACCAGATTCATGAACTCTATTATCAGTTCTAATACCACAAGTAGTTGGTACATACATGCATATATCAACCAATATGCAATATGCAAGATACACATCATAATTAGTAATGCACATGTTCACATAAATTACATAGAATGAGTGTAGCTGAGATGAGGATGTTGAGATAGATGAGTGGCAAAATAAGAAGAGATAGAATTCCGAATCAACACATTCGGGGGAATTTATGTATGGCACCAATAGACGATAAAATGAGAGAAAGTAGATTTAGGTGGGTTGGCCATGTGTTGCGCAGACCCAATATAGCTCCTGTTAGGAGGTGCGAATTAGTTCAAGTGGAAAGCTAAAAAAGCACAAAAGGTCGGCCCAAAGGACATGGTTGAAGGCAATGGTTTCAAAAACGGATCGGTGCCCCAGATTGGGCACCCCAAAAACCCATCCGGATCGGTGAATCAACGGTTCGGATCGGGAATCGACCGAATCGATTGCATTCAGCAATAAAAAAATCCAAAAAAATTATTAAAAATCATTATAAATGTTGTTTTTTAGAAATCCAATAAGAAATTGGGTACTACATTATTAACTTTCATTTTTTTCCATCAATATGCGAATATTGAGATGTTCTTTCTCTGTATGAATTTATGTTAGCCATTAAATTTACATCACACAAAAGAAAAATCATAGAATATAAAGTATATAATCATACATGGACTACAATAGATAATGAATTAAATCGATGAAAAAAAGGCCACCAAAATCTCGAATTGGCGGAAAAAACCTA